CCAATGAAAAGCAGGGGTGTCACTAGCACGTTAAGAGACCATACAATAAGTGTCAGGGGCCCGAGACTGTTCAACTGCCTCCCAGCACACATAAGGGGGATTACCAACAGACCCCTGGCAGTCTTCAAGCTGGCACTGGACAAGCACCTAAAGTCAGTTCCTGATCAGCCGGGCTGTGGCTCGTACGTTGGTTTGCGTGCAGCCAGCAGCAACAGCCTGGTTGATCAGGCGCTGATCCACCAGGAGGCCTGGTCACAGACCGGGCCGCGGGGGCGTTGACCCCCGAAACTCTCTCCAGGTAAACTCCAGGTAAACACAACAATGTACTACACAATGCACTACACAACAATGCACTACACAATGCACTACACAACAATGCACTACACAATGCACTATGCAACCCTGCACTATACCATACCCTAAAACAACACTGCACTGCACTACACAACTACATTTTCACTATATAACACACTACACTATGTAAAATAAATTCCACTGTCACTATATAAGTACATAATCACTATCACTATCACTGCCGGTACTTCCAGGCCAGAAGTACTGGCAAATCCGTAATGAATGAATGATTTTTTATGTTTAAATATGTTTAGTTGACCCAGTGGTTAGCGTAGTTATAAAACTTAAGCTTTCTTTGCAGATTGGTAAGTGAACGGAAGAGGATGGACGTGAAAATACTGGGTGTTTATCACCCTCTTCTGGAGGCCACCAAACCACTGAACGTGGCAGATATCACCAAAATTGTTACTGACACACCTCGCACATTTGGTAAAGTATGTCAAGTGTGTTGGAGCGATGAGCTGCTTCTGGATCCTCCTGTACCCAAAGGTCATGGTCTCATTGTAGTGATGGAACAACCACCTCACTGTGTGTCTATATACTCCTGCCTGGATGGGACTCTGCTGTACTATGACGGTGGTCGTGTTAAGGTCGCCCTCGAGTTGATAACATAATACTACGATAAGCATTCCTGCTTCACAAGGCTTCTATCTCTCAGGGGCGTACGACAGGACGGTGGTACCTGCTCGTACCATGCACTGTCCTTCATGGACATAGTTGTCAGTTCTAGGCTCACAGACCCCATGGACATCGCTAGATGGTTCTGCATTAAAATGAAATATTTCCCTGATATTAAGGCAATAAACCTGGTCAAGTCAATGCTGAGTGAAATCAAAAGTGATATAGATACTTCCTGCGACAATTTCCAGGAGAGTGTATTGAAGAAAGTGATTAAAAGTCATCTGGTTAAAATAAGGAAGATTGATACATCTGGTAAACGTCCACTGGAGAGTGAGACGCCCTCAGCCCAACCACAAAAAATGATGAAAGTCTGAATAATAAGAACTAAGAACAGGAACTAAGTTCAGTCCCCTACCCCCTCCAAAAACTGAAGGAGACAAGGTTAAAATTTTTTTTTATATATATGTATATAAACATTGTCTTTACGTCCACAGCAGGACTCGAACCTGCTAACTCTGTATCAAAGTTCACAGTACTTTACCACGTACTGTTAACACTGATAGAATTAAACATAATTTGAGTTAATATACATAACTAAGTATGAAAGTCAGGATGACTTTGTCATCATTGTTTGTGTATAAGATCATCCCTGGATCCCTGGACATCAAAGTGAAGCAATGAAATTCTCCATAAGACAATATTCAGTTGCAAGATCATCATAAGACAACATTCAGTTGCAAGAACATCATAAGACAATATTCAGTTGCAAGATCATCATAAGACAACATTCAGTTGCAAGATCATCATAAGACAACATTCAGTTGCAAGATCATCATAAGACAACATTCAGTTGCAAGATCATCCCTGGACATTCAAAGTCAAGTGAATAACAAAAAAGACACAATACCGTGACTGCAACGATACACAAATATCCCGCACATAGAAGAGAGGAGCTTAACACGACGTTTCGGTCCGACTTGGACCATTTACAAAGTCACACTCTACTTGTAGTACATGTACTTGTAGTATATGAACTTGTAGTACATGAACTTGTAGTACATGAACTTGCAGTACATGAACTTGTAGTACATGTACTACAAGTACATGAACTTGTACATGAACTTGCAGTACACGAACTTGTAGTACATGAACTTGTAGTACATGAACTTGTAGTACATGTACTTGTAGTACATGAACTTGCAGTACATGAACTTGTACATGAACTTGTAGTACATGAACTTGTAGTACATGTACTTGTAGTACATGAACTTGTACATGAACTTGTAGTACATGAACTTGTAGTACATGTACTTGTAGTACATGAACTTGTACATGAACTTGTAGTACGTGAACTTGCAGTACATGAACTTGTAGTACATGAACTTGTAGTACATGAACTTGTAGTACATGTACTTGTACATGAACTTGTACATGAACTTGCAGTACATGAACTTGTAGTACATGAACTTGTAGTACATGAACTTGCAGTACATGAACTTGTAGTACATGAACTTGTAGTACATGAACTTGTAGTACATGAACTTGTAGTACATGAACTTGTAGTACATGTACATGTAGTACATGAACTTGTAGTACATGAACTTGTAGTACATGAACTTGTAGTACATGTACTTGTAGTACATGAACTTGTAGTACATGAACTTGTAGTACATGAACTTGTACATGAACTTGTAGTACATGAACTTGTAGTACATGTACTTGTAGTACATGAACTTGTACATGAACTTGCAGTACATGAACTTGTACATGAACTTGTAGTACATGTACTTGTAGTACATGAACTTGTACATGAACTTGTAGTACATGAACTTGTAGTACATGAACTTGTACATGAACTTGCAGTACACGAACTTGTAGTACATGAACTTGTAGTACATGAACTTGTAGTACATGAACTTGTAGTACATGTACGTGTAGTACATGAACTTGTACATGAACTTGTAGTACATGAACTTGTAGTACATGTACTTGTAGTACATGAACTTGTACATGAACTTGTAGTACGTGAACTTGCAGTACATGAACTTGCAGTAGATGAACTTGTAGTACATGAACTTGTAGTACATGAACTTGTAGTACATGAACTTGTAGTACATGTACTTGTATATGAACTTGTACATGAACTTGCAGTACATGAACTTGTAGTACATGAACTTGTAGTACATGTACTTGTAGTACATGAACTTGTAGTACATGTACTTGTAGTACATGAACTTGTAGTACATGAACTTGTAGTACCTGAACTTGTACATGAACTTGTAGTATGTGAACTTGCAGTACATGAACTTGTAGTACATGAACTTGTAGTACATGAACTTGTAGTACATGTACTTGTACATGAACTTGTACATGAACTTGCAGTACATGAACTTGTAGTACATGAACTTGTAGTACATGAACTTGTAGTACATGAACTTGTAGTACATGTACTTGTACATGAACTTGTACATGAACTTGCAGTACATGAACTTGTAGTACATGAACTTGTAGTACATGAACTTGTAGTACATGAACTTGTAGTACATGAACTTGTAGTACATGAACTTGTAGTACATGAACTTGTAGTACATGAACTTGTACATGAACTTGTAGTACATGAACTTGTAGTACATGAACTTGCAGTACATGAACTTGTAGTACATGAACTTGTAGTACATGAACTTGTAGTACATGAACTTGCAGTACATGAACTTGCAGTACATGAACTTGTAGTACACGAACTTGTAGTACATGAACTTGTAGTACATGAACTTGTAGTACATGAATTTGTAGTACATGAACTTGTAGTACATGAACTTGCAGTACATGAACTTGTAGTACATGAACTTGTAGTACATGAACTTGCAGTACATGAACTTGCAGTACATGAACTTGTAGTACATGAACTTGTAGTACATGAACTTGTAGTACATGAACTTATAGTACATGAACTTGTAGTACATGAACTTGTAGTACATGTACTTGTAGTACATGAACTTGTAGTACATGAACTTGTAGTACATGAACTTGTAGTACATGTACTTGTAGTACATGAACTTGTACAGGAACTTGCAGTACATGAACTTGTAGTACATGAACTTGTAGTACATGAACTTGCAGTACATGAACTTGTAGTACATGAACTTGCAGTACATGAACTTGTAGTACATGAACTTGTAGTACATGAACTTGTAGTACATGAACTTGTAGCACATGAACTTGCAGTACATGAACTTGTAGTACATGAACTTGTAGTACATGAACTTGTAGTACATGAGCTTGTAGTACATGAACTTGCAGTACATGAACTTGCAGTACATGAACTTGCAGTACATGAACTTGTAGTACATGAACTTGTAGTACATGAACTTGTAGTACATGAACTTGTAGTACATGTACTTGTAGTACATGAACTTGTACATGAACTTGCAGTACACGACTTGTAGTACATGAACTTGTACATGAACTTGTAGTACATGAACTTGTAGTACATGAACTTGCAGTACATGAACTTGTAGTACATGAACTTGTAGTACATGAACTTGTACATGAACTTGTAGTACATGTACTTGTAGTACATGAACTTGTAGTACATGAACTTGTAGTACATGAACTTGTAGTACATGAACTTGTACATGAACTTGTAGTACATGTACTTGTAGTACATGAACTTGTAGTACATGTACTTGTAGTACATGAACTTGTAGTACATGAACTTGGGGCTTGGCAAGGGTGTCCCTCTCTGCTGGGGCTTGGCAAGGGTGTCCCTCTCTGCTGGAGCTTGGCAAGGGCGTCCCTCTCTGCTGGGGCATGGCAAGGGCGTCCCTCTCTGCTGGGGCTTGGCAAGGGCGTCCCTCTGCTGGGGCTTGGCAAGGGCGTCCCTCTCTGCTGGGGCTTGGCAAGGGTGTCCCACTCTGCTGGGGCTTGGCAAGGGTGTCCCTCTCTGCTGGGGCTTGGCAATTATTATTATAATCAAAAAGAAGCGCTAAGCCAACGGGGCTTGGCAAGGGTGTCCCTCTCTGCTGGGGCTTGGCAAGGGTGTCCCTCTCTGCTGGGGCTTGGCAAGGGTGTCCACCGGATCTTATTGGAAACTTCAAGTTTCTATCTCTATTTATAAAGGAACTTTTGTTCCTTTTCTCTCATCGTCCAGCCTTGGGCAACAATTTTTTCTGGTACCATCAAGAAACCGGACTCAATACTGCGTATGCTGTCAGTGGCCCTGATAAACCCAACAAAATAAGAAGAGACATATTAATTACAATTGTCTGATCAAGAAGGTGGGATTTTTGGCCAGAACTGCCGTAATTCTTACTAAGAGGAACTTTATGCCAACCATGCTTCCTTAAACCCTGAGAATAACTGTTAATATGCTTTCAAGCCCCAGTGCACCGGGTTTATGTTTTATTCATCATTACTGGTCAGTTTTACTGGTGAAGTGTGGATGATGATGTTCCTCTGGCAGGTATATTGACGGAGCACCAACATGGTACCTCGTCAGTTTCTGAGGTATCCAGTAAGTATAATTATTGTGTAATATTAGGTAACATAGCAATCAAAAAGTCTTGTGAATTTCACTAGTTTGAGGAGGCTCTGGTGGCCTGGTTGGTAAAGCTCTCGCTTCACACACAGGGGACCCGGGTTCGATTCCTGTCGGGGTGGAAATATTTCGACGTGTTTCCTCACACCTGTTGTCCTGTTCACCTAGCAGCAAGTAGGTACCTGGGTGTTAGTGGACTGGTGTGGGTGGCATCCTGGGGGACAAGACTGAGGACCACAATGGAAGACAGTCCTCGATGACTGACTTTCTTGGGTTATCCAGGGTGGCTAACCCTCCGGGATTAAAAATCTGAACGAAATTTTATCTTATACATAGCATATGTATAAAGACCTTGGATAACTCAAAAAAAAAGTCAGACAGTAACTTACTTTCGTTGGGGTCCTTTTATTATTATAGCACAAATAATACCTGTATATTATATGATTACAGTCAATTGTATAAATACTGATGATTTAATATTTAAATTGTTTATGTATGACCAATGTAATTACCTTATACCAGCCTATTTTAACCTAACTCTTATTAAATCTATTTTCCTTTTTAATATATTACTATATTTCTGCTAATAGTTATTACAGTTTGACTCAAATACAGCTGTATAATGTTGTACCGAGAAATACACAAGGGCTTGATGATAACAGCAGCAGAATATGCTGTTATTAGGTCAAATGTCTTTGTGTTATGAGTGGCCCAAGAAGTGGCATCATATTGAAAGCTTAACAAAGATTAAGCAAGGAAACCAATTAAGTTTGATTCAAAACTTGGAGATAAAAGAGAACATTGAGTCATGAGCAGTATGATAAGGAGTGTCATCCAGTTGCCCACTGCATTTCACATTTACTTACAATAACCTTTGTTGTACTTAGATAATATTATATGGTATTATCTAACTACACGAGAAGAATAAGTTGATGGTAAAATTCCCTCATAACATTAAATAATAATTTTTAGTTGACTGGTATAATTACTGCAGTATTCCATCTCTTGTTAAATTGAATTACTTTATAATTGCATTGCATAAGATTAATTAAACCCCCTTATATTAATATTCTGTGGGCAAGGTTAAGCATCTTATATTTAGTACATTTTAATAAAATATAAAGTACTTTATATTAATGTTGGTAGAATTACCGACATAAAATACTGTATTCTTAGTTATGAGCTGAGTTTGCTACTTCTTGCTTTGTTTTTTTCTTTATGAAATTAGCTCCATTAACATGAACTTACCACATGTCTGTCAGTTGGGTATCTTTCCATCTCTTTGGCTATAGTAATAGATATCAGTTAGGGAAAGTATATGGTGGGTCAATCAGCCCGACAAGACAGGTGGTCAGTAAATGTGAGGGAACCAGATGCATTGAGGGATAAGTTAGGAAGTTATCATCTGATGGGAGTCATTGAATCTTGGCAAGACACAAATATGAATCAGCAAGTCACTAAAGAAGTACAATTTGGCCTACAGGGAAGGTCTCCAGGGAGCTACAGTGATCCTGAAGACCCTAGAAGCCAGCTTTCACATCACTGCTCTAGGTGTTTACACCATGTCCTTGGTAAGTATCGACTCTCCAGGTAAATTATGGGCATTTACAGTCTTTCTGATAATTATAAATGTCCACACTGGCCTTGGTGATTGTTATTGTATATTCAAGGGGAAGTGCTAAACCTGGAGGTATCATACAGCACATGGGGAAAGGGAAGTAATCAGGTTTGTTCCAAGGAATGGGAAGACAAGTACAATTTCTTGAATCAAGAGCCCCTCACCCATGACTCAAGAAATTAACCCCCTGTTCTTAAGACATTATGTTGATTAAACTGTTTACATAATTTTTAATACCCAGGACCACAAAAACTTCTTTTCCCTGTAACCTTTCCTCTACAGCATGATCACTTTCACCTCCTGGAGCACTCTATGAATCTGGCATCATGTGCTCACCACCACAGCTGCCAGGTCATCGACACCTTCAGCATGACTGCAGCCCGCTATAGACACTTTCTCCAGGGAAGTGTGCCTGCCATTTTCACCAGGTGAGTTGCAGGTACACTGAGAGGAGTGGAGGATGTAGGAAGTAGTGAGGGGTTTGGACAGCCATGTGACCATAGTAGTTTATTAAAAAGCAACTCTGTGAGGAACCAACTAATCTACATCTTTATTATCATTACACTATATTTATAGGGAAGTGCTTTTCTGTAAGGGTCATACAACACCTGGGAAACAGGAGGTAATCAGGTTTGTTTGAAATGGGAGGTTATCTCCAATTCCTTGAAGTGTCCAGGTCAGCAGAGTGATTAGAAGGTGGTCATGCCATTGCCATACCATTGGCTGGCATTATAATAATTTCTTTTTGATTATAATAATTTTCAAAACTTGAAGCACATCTAATGGCCAAGCATTTGGAGTAAACACTGATCAACTAGTCTCTTGTTTCCTTTGATTCTCAGGCTCAGCTGTCACATTTCCTTGGATTAAGAGCCGCTCATTGACATCAAGGCACCCTTGAGGGGTTGGCAGGGATAGACAGGAGTGGGTAAGAGGCACTCAAACATTGACCAGAGGAGCAGTGTATGTGGCATAGCTTCATGGTTCCCATCTCTTAGGTTGGGAACTACTGATTTAGTGTATACCACATACTACCCAAAAACTAAAAAAGTACGGTTCAATTGCCATTTGACTGGCCCCTGGCCTTCATATACACAGCCTGTTCCTGTGTACTCTAATTAGTGTTCTCTCAGTCCAGTCCTCTTGAGTTCTGGTACCAGTCTTGAGATTTTTTTTTTTCATTAATTTAAATCAGGGTAGAAGTGCTTAACCAGTAGGGGGTTGTAGTGTCTGGGGTTTTGAACCAATGAAGGGGAGCACAAGTAGTTCATTGGAATCTTTATATGCTTTGCTATGCTTGATCACACATGGGCTCTGTGCTAGCACTGCATATGCTAAGATGAAAGACAATTTTTAGGTTAGCTAGCTTTGCAGAGGCTGTATGATTGCTAAGTACTTCAACTGATTTTATGTACAGCATTATTACATTAACTGGGAAGTGCAAAACCTGTAGAGGTCGTTATTATTATAATCATTAAGTGCTAAATCCATAAGGGCCATACAGCTGTAGAGGTCATGCATGGAAGGTAATCAAATTTGATCCAAGGAAGGAGACAGTATCTTCAATTCCTTATGCAAGAGACCTTTACCAATCAAGGGAGTGCTGATGCTATGCTTGCTCCCAGATTTTGCTATTTTTATGGTTTCTGCAGCATCTTGCCTGCCAGAATATATTTCTTGTTAGATATCTTACTTTCTCTATTTTCATTACTGTATAAATCTCAGGATTGTATTTAAGTAGCAGCATCAGGTGGGTTAGCCATATCAGATGAATGTGGGCTGTATCAGGTAACATAAGGTTTTATAACTGAGTTATATCAGGTGTGTGAAGGCTATACCAGATTGGTGTTTCAGGTTGTGTCGAGATGTGAGGGCAATGGGGAGGTGGTGTACCATGTAGAGGGAGAAATCAGTGCCATTTACACCAACATACTTGCCAACACCTTTTCTCCACACTCTTCTCTCACCAGATATTAGGTAAGTGATGAGGCATGATCAGTAGTTGGTGAGCATGTGTGGATGATAGAGGGCAAATGATGAAGCATAATGGATGGGGTGTGATGAGTGAGAATGAAGTTGGGAAATGACTGAAGCAATAGGTGATGGTGGTTTCATTGTGGAGCTTGAATATCCAGGAGGCTGATGTGAGCATGTTAAATTAGTGAATGGAGACAAGTTTTTTTAATGTATGTGCTGCTGGAGTGTGAGCACGGTAACGTTTATGAAGGGAAATTTTGGTTAGCCAAATCAGTCCTGGAGGTGGGAAGGACAGTGCCTGTACTCTGAAGGGTGAGGATGTTGCAGTTCAGAGGGTCATTTGAACTGTGATGTCGTTACACTCCTGGCAAGATAATTGAACGATAGTGTTTCCTCTTTCTTGGGTCACTCTTCCTTGGTGGAATAATAATAATTTATCAGTATTAATGTGTGTCCGTTAACATAACAGATAAATCACTAGTACATGAAGCCATTCTGGTTTGTACCAATTCTTTCCCTTCCAGCCCTTGACGTGGGTGTGTCAATCAACCACCGAGAAAGGGAGCAGAAGGGCTTCACTGTGGCTTCCAGCTAACTTAGCGACATGTTTATTTATTTATTTATTTTATTTATTTATTTATTTATTAATTTGAACATGATACAGTGAAGTACAAAAGAATACAGTTAAAAGCAGCATGCCAAAGCCACTTGAATGTATAGCATTACGGGCAGGCTTAAAATTAACTTAAGATTAACTAAACAATGATATATTCAGTGGTACAAAAATTATTGTAAAACAGATAACAATTTAGTACAAATGAGTATTACAAAGACAGGTCATATGGTCATTTACTGTGTTGCTGTGTAATCAGTAGAATGGAGTATTCTGTTAGGCAATGAAGTTAAATAGTAACAGAGTTTGATTGGGTCACAGGTTGACATTTATGAGATACAATAATGAGATACATATATGAGATACAATTTATGAGATACAATTATTCAGTATTTATTTAGTTGTGGGTGAGTAAGTGATTTTTGAGAAGAGACTTGAATTTATAAACAGTGTTTCTTTTATATTCACAGATAATGAATTCCAGATTTTAGGGCCTTTTATGTGCATTGAGTTTTTGCATAGCATAGTGTAACTTACTGATCTGTATAGAAAAGCTGCATTTTTATTAGTTATTCTGTTTTGTATAGATCTTGTTATTCCTTTTAGATATATATCATTGTGATGAATAGAAATATGCTTATCAGAGCAAATATGTTACAATCAGTTTTTTTTTTTTTTTTTAAACTTTTGAGCCATATATTGTACATTCTACTGAGGACTCCATGGCTGTTTTCCTATATACATGTAGGACACACTTTACCATGTATATTATGATTTATATATTTTATATATACACATACATGTTATATATGTATTATTATATAAAAAAATTGCATGGTGAGCTGTCTTACTGCAAATTAGGAAACACACCATGAAAATTAAATTACAGTATATTTTAACTTCCAGCTGAAGTCCTTAGTAAAATGTGTAACAAGAAGGTCAAAATATATATCGTAAGACAACAAGTTAAAGCTAAATGCTGTACTGATGTAGGCCCTCTGATCCAGGGCAGGGGAGTCATTGAAGCTAATAAATATAAGCAACCTGGACCAGGAGAGAGTTCCGGGCAAGTACTTAATTTGCCCGAAATGCTCAGCATAACAAGGGGCTTTTTATATAGTAGTATGTTATTGATGTCAGCTAGGCCTGTATACCTTGTTCTTGTAGTAAATACGCATATAATTACCTTTGATGTTCTGAGCTTCCTTTGCATCTCTTATGGTTGAGGGTAAATTTGGGTTGTTGTGTTTTGTCAAAGGAACTGATTCTCCAACAGCTGAGAGAAGATATGTTAGTCAAGATTGGTTGTATCTGCAGAAAAGATGTTATGCAATAACTGGAACGTATGTTTAAAGTGTCGAGAAATGCTAAATTAGAGGAGTTTTAGTTGTTTCCACATTTATAGAAATAATGCGTCAAATTATAAAAAAGAAGCGCTAAACCTACAAGGGTCATACAGCAACTGAACAAATTATCAGGATCATCCTCTTCCAGAAATGGTCCACTCTTCTGCAGACCAAATTTTTGAGGTGAATTCTTCATCTTGTGCTTCGTGGCCGGGTGGCTAAAGCATTCACTTCTTATGGCAGAGACCTGGGTTAGATTCCCTGCAAGAGTAGAAACATTGGGTGTGTTTCTGTACACCAGTTGTCTATGTTCATCCATCAGTAAAATGGGTACCTGGGAGTTAGTCGACTGGTGTGGGTCGCATCCTGGGACAAAACTGACCTAATTTGCCAGAAATGCTCTGCTTAACAAGAGGCTTTCTATATAGTAGTATGTCACTGATGTCAGCTATGGTCTGTATACCTTGTACTTGTAGTAAATATGTGAGACCTCTACCCACTCTACCGGAGGTATCCCAGCGAGTGAGCACGTCCCCTGTATATCCCAGTGCTTAACAAGCTAGGGAATAGCATATGAAGGTACAAATAAAAATGGGAACTATGGCTATAGTTTACTTAATAACATAAAAGGGCTAGAATACAACATCTCCTGATGGAAATTTACACAATATAACAATTGACCTATGAGACTTATTACCAGGGGGAAGGGTAGATGTTATCAGTAACACGGACTAGTACTCACTCTTAATTCACCGACCAGCTGACCCGAGATTCCCAATGCGTGGTCTACTACACACGCGGCTGTCCAGAGCTCTCGCTCGACGGACCTGTCACCAACAACCTCCTTGCCCCGCTCTTTCCTGGGCTTATATCGTAGTCAAAGTACCCCCCTCCCCAATGGTGTATGTACCACGTGTACGACCTGACGCCTAGGTCTGAGGCGTCAAGAACAAAAGACCTCAGACGTGGGCGTGGCTACAGACGCCTGCCAAGGCAAGGTGTGACCATATAATTGGTCAAATTAGGTCTCCCCAGAGACCTCACAAGCCCAGCTGGACTACATCACATCCCCCTTTCTCCCCCAGTTTAAAATATCTGAGAACTAGGACAATTTGTCCTAGTTATTAGACTATTTTAATCCTAACCCCTTAAATCTATTTACAATACAATAGCAAATAATATGAATTCACACAGATCAGTAGGTTTAATAAATTCTAGCACAGGAAACGAATAACAATGACTCTGGTGCGAAACCTCCTTATCCGTCATGTCTCCTTAAAACTAAATATCGGGCTCCAGTGCCTTCCTGTACTCTACTAGAAATAAACTAGCTCCTGTAGTCACCCTCGCTAATTAACCATTGAGCCAAACCTCGTAAGGTTTTCCTGGCGTAGAAAACAGCTCCAGCGGGTATTATTCCTTCAAGTACTTGCAACTGAACCATTACACGACCACAATGTCGCATTTTCCTTGCACCGTACCGTGACCATTCATGACAAGGCAGGAATCGCAACCAGGACCAATCATTATCCCATTTCTAGGAACTAAAAGAAAACCTCCCATCCCTCACATAAGGAATCCTCTTCTGACGGCGAGCCGATTGGTGTTTACAAGTCTCCACCTGAAAAGAAAATACATCCTATCTCTACTGTGATCCCTCCCGGCAAGGAGCTAGCTCACATAATATACAACACATTATTGTCCCACCAGCTGACATAACATAGGGCATCCCCTAGCAGTAGAGATACCGTACTAATACCACTCTAATCATCATTTCCCAAGCTTCACTGGCTAGTAGTGAATGACACGGTTGGCTTGACTTGGGGCCATGCTATTGACCCAGGGAGAAGCTCTCTCCAAATCCTTGGGCAGAAATATGAAGGGGTCGACGGAGGAGAACATAGGGCCATTGCAGTATTCTTGTCATCTCACCTCCAGATCTGTCTACTGCTTCTACTAGAAGAGGGGTTAGCCAGAGCTTCTGGCCGACCCTAGCACTTCCTAAATTGGGCCATGTCTCATTGTGTGGACTTCATTGGCGTTTAGGAACGCTCATGCGGGTCCCTCTCGTTGAAAGCACAGCATCTGGGAACTTCACGACTCAGCAAGCAGCTTATCTTCACCACGACAATACTCCTCAGGCACCAAGGCCACCCTTCATCCGTCCAGCCTCACCCGTCACTTCCACCTCTTGCATGGTGGTGGCACGAGAGCTGGCTACCGCTTTTCCTCAAGTCTCCCAGGTCTAATAATAGCCCTTTTGCTGGACCCAAACTGACTTCTTGGCACTTCTGCGTCTCCATCACTCCAGGCCAAATAGATTCCTGGAGTCTCCTTGGCAGATCCTGGCAACATCTCCACATCTCCTGTGAATAATAGTAGACGGCAGTATTGTTCTACAGGTGACTGGGGCTTATTGTTGGTGGGCAGGTCTCTAGAGTATTGAGCCGACCTGAGGGCGAGGCGAGTGGTCAGCTCCTTCCCCCTCAGGGTCCATTTACTCACAACACTCTCCCCCCTCCAGCAATAATTCCCTTACAAATTTCGTCTATACATTCTTGCCCTTTGTATTCATACCAACATTTTCCTCTACCAGCTGATGTAACCTATTTCCCTCATATACCTCGTCATTTACAGTCCTTTCATCCACCACATTAAATTGGGCATTACTATTTCCTCGCAGACCAAATGGCTTTAGTTTATTACAAGAACAATCCTCTCACTCTGGTCCTCAAACAACCCTTTAACCTTCACATTTACTGGTCCCATTTCTCTAAGATGCGGTAAGGACCTTTCCCACCCTTGGACCGAGGGATACTCTGTTGAGGGGTTACTTCATCTTTATAACCATTACTAGGTTACCTTCCCCTTAAGTTTAAGAGGTTCACTTGCCTGTCATAGTAGTGAGCATTTTTTTTTCCTGCGCTCTACCAGATGCCTGGGGGCAGTTCGCCAAGCAGTTCTCATTTTTGTTAGGACTTCTAAAGGATAGTCCTCACCGTATCTGACAACTGCTGGTTCACCAAGCCTGCTGCAAAATGACAGTCTGCCCTGTAAAAGGAATAATGGTTGTGTCCCATTGTTTTTGTGAAAGCGGTGTTTTAAAGCAAATTGACATTTTGGTATATATTTATCCCATTGTAATGGTTCTTTTCTCTGAGAAAAATTGGCCAGTGTATTTTTGACTACTTGGTTCGTTCTCTCCACCATACCATTCGCCTGTGGATGATAAGCTGTCGTGAATGCTGTCATTATTTCTAAGGTGTTAAAAACCTCTGCAAATACCTTGCTTTTAAAACTCTGAACCTTGATCTGTTACTAATTCTCTAGGAGGCCCAAAATTTATTGCTACAAAAATCTATAAAGGAGCGCCTCTGCAACAGTCTGTGGGTTTTTCTTAGGGATGGGAACAAGTGTTGTATACCGTGACAGATGGCCACCAGCACAAGAACATACCTATTCCCTGAATAACTATTATGTAAGTCAATAAGATCTGCACCAACCGGTCCAACGGCTCCTTAATCTCGGGAAAAGCTTGCAATTCACTTAACCGAGGGTTACCTTTCCTCCTTGGCAATTACCACAACATTTTACATATTCGGTTACATAATTCAGGAGACCAGGAAAGTAGAACATTCTTTGGCCCTCTTATAAGTCCTAAAAACACCTGGATGGCCAGCCATCTTGGAGAGTGTGCAAGCTTCAGAGCGGCCTTCCTGAGGACATTGGGTTTACTACCTGCTGTACTGAACGATCGTTCAGCTCCGTAACCTATGTAGCACACCGTCTTTCATCTCGAATTCATCAATAGGGCGGCTTGGCTTGTGGCACGGGAGCTTCTCTCCCTCCAAATACTCAATTATCCCCTTTCCCACCGGTTCTCTTCCAGTTGGTACTCTCTTAATTTTTCATTGTTCACATTCTCAATATTAACATTTACATTTATTGCTGCTACATTCCTACTCAAAACGTCTGGTACATGGTGTGAGGCCCCGGGCTTATAAAGAATCTGGTACGAGTGTGCTGACAGTTGTACCCCATCTAGACATCCAGGACAGCGAGTTTTCTTTTTAAATATGTGCCCCAATGCCCTGTGATCTGTTATTATTTTAAATGCGCTGAAATACATACGGTTCAAAGTATCTCACCTTTCTACCACTGCCAAGGCTTCTTTATCAGTGATGGCATACCTGATTTCCCGGTCCTTTAATCTTTCTGCTAAAATACGCTACGGGGTTGTGGGTTATTTTCCTTGTCTCTTTGCATTAGGCAACCTCCTATTGCAACTGCTGAAGCTTTCTGTATGTATCTCAAATTTCTGGAAAAATCAGGAACCACCTAATACCGGCTCACTTGTAAGCTCAGCCTTTAATTTTTCGTGAGCCAACTCATGTTCTTCTTTCCATACAAACTTAGCTTTCTTCTTAGTTAGATCTGTCAGTGGTGCTGCTAGCTCTGCAAAACCCTTATATGTCTTCTAAAGTATCCT